TGAACCGACTGATGCACCCCATTGCTCCGGGAGGTATGACTGCAGAAGTATTCAGCTATGAAGCAAATTATGCAACTGTAGCCAGATGCCTTGTTTCAGGCTTGCAAGTTAAGCACACACAAATTTATAATTATCTGGCTGCCAAGGAATAATCTTGTGCTTTTTGAATAGACATTGTGTTTGTGTTTGATCTTCTTCCAGAATTTATGACCACAATTGTTTTAAAGATTATTTGTTCTCTTCTACAAGAGAACAGATATCCAGGTTGAAGTTCAGCAATCTGGAATATTCCATTTGTTTGTATGTGCTTTGCTGTTATTCCCTACCATTGCTAAGTTCTGCTTCAAGAGAGGCAGCTTATAATTTCTTAAACGCATGCATTCTGTATACTTGTGGTAACAGAGATGGGCATATGCCTAGTAATTTGTCCCTTAACTTCTTAAAATGAAAAAAAAATTGCCATGTGCTTTTCTTTTCCGGTTTATAGAAAAGCGTACCATGACAAGTGGAGGATTCCCTGGCTTTAATCCTGCAATGCTATCCAAAAGAGAGTCATCTGTCAAATTGAAGCAAAATATGGAAAAAAAGAAATCTGATCTTGAGAAGAATGAAAGCAAAGAAAACATAAACGGAGAGACAGAGAAGCAGATGCCAATGCCAGAAAAAGATGATTCTGGCTCGGAAACCCCTTGTTTAGCTTCAGAAGAAAAATAAGCCCAATAGATTTCAATTAAATTGAAATCTAGGGACCAAAAAATGTGTCATGACAGCTTAATGATTATTATAGTTTATAAATAGTGAACATATGTAAAGATTGTACAGGGAAGAATTGTGATGATCTCTGCAGTTAAGCCACAGAGTATCCTGGCAGTTCAATTTGTGTGCTAGAGTTAACCCTGAAGGGGCTACACATACACATATAAATATTGCTTCCTGATTGAAATTTTAGAAGTATGATTTAAATATGGGATTATGGTTTCCCCAAAACATGATTTATTTGGTTTTAGCAGATGAAGAAGAGTTCTGGTAATGTGGTATCTTACTATGGTATTAAAAGTGCTAACAGTTGGTGGTCACAGTAACCACTACTGTAATGTGCCAAGAATTTTGTCATTCTCTCTAAAAAAAATAATTGTAAAATATATTGTCTGAACAATTGAAATGTGTTATAAAAATTGAGTCTTTTATTTTTTGGCAGTGTCATTAGTTAACTCTTTGTGTCATTCCACTAACCTTATATTAGTAAGTTGAAAGGAAATAACCAGAGTCTATGTAATTTTTTAAAATGTTATGTTCCTAATATTAATGAGAGAAATCAGCATTTAATAGAAAAGGTTACAAAGATAGAAATTTCATTACGCTGCTGATGTATTGCACTATATGATACAAACTTTTTAGCTGAACGTTTCAGTTAAAGTTCCAAATTAAAATATCCTAACAAATGACTATCCAGCCTGGAGAGGAGAGGCCACTGTTTTCCTTAATAAGTGGCTCTACCTTGTTTAAGTTTCCATAGCTAATATTGAAAAAAATGAATCTTTAAAAGTCAGCTAAGAATTATTTTGACAGGCAATGCAAGGCAGGTCTTATTATATGAAGGGCTGAAAACTTTGCTATTATGTGTAAAGATAAAATTATAATCCCTGACATGTTTTTCTAAAATTTCAGATCCTTCATATTTAACTAAATCACAACAATTTGGAAAGTAAAATGCAAAATAAACACAAACTTATTCCATTGTTATATGGTGGAGAAAGATTCAGAGCGTATCTTTAAAAAACTCACTGTTGCTTATAGCATAGCAAGGTATCCTTTATAATTGTCCTTATTATTGCTCTTATCCTCCTTATTGTTCTTACTAAGCAAGATTTTGAAGCATGATGAAAATATTATAAAATGTTTCGAATCAGGACAAATACTATCTGTATCCTATGAGTAATAATGATGATATACATCTATCAACTCTAAAAAACAATTTCCAATTCCTGCAGAAGTAATTCTACTGTGAAATTGTCACAATAGGTGGCAGTAGCTAGCTGGTTTTGGTTGATTTTACAAAGGCAAGAGATTCAGATCTGATTAGGATTTTGATAGATCATCAAGAAATTCTAGAATTGTAAATGAGACTGAGCAATTGAAAAAAAAACCCTCCCATATAAGAAGAAAATGAAGGGGAAGTACTGTACCTCATAAATGTAGGCGTACTATCTACAACAGGTGAGATGGTAAATACTTTCTAAACTGTACAAAGGTAATTGAATACTTTTCAATTACCTCCCTACCATTTTTAGGGAGAAAATCTTTCACGTGGTAAATTATAGGAAGGATGATTTCTGATCTTATGTTCACCTGAGCATATTAACTTTGTAAGTGCAAGGACTGCCTGGCACTTTAGCTTTGCATAAAATAGAGTGATAAATGAGTCTGTTCATTACAGGTAATTGTGATGATGATGATGGCTGCTAGTATATCACAGAACAGGGAGTCAGATTTTACAGCATTGTAGGTTTCTCTTTTTGTGTTTGTCCCTCTCAAATAATTCAAAATGTAGAATGTTTGCTGTTTAGTCTTTCCTGCTTGATTTTCTTTTCTTTATAACATCTCCATGTTACAAATAAGTGGAGAATGATAGAAGCCTGTCCTCTTTCCTATACCATCTTTCAACTTGCGAGGTTCTGATCTTGCTTTGGTGCCTGAAATTTGGTTTGTCTATTAGCCTCTCAGTGGCTAGGCTAAAATGTTATTGGCTAATTCATGCTTAATGTGTTGTGTGAATCCAGAGAATAGTTACCTAAACAGTTGGGTTAATTCAGTAAATCATGTTTTAGTAAAGTGTATTGCGTGAATGTAGCTTTGTGTTATCCAAAATTTCAATAGGTAAATTAAGTCAGAAGTGATGGAGAAAAATTATTGGAATAGAAGTCTAGAGATTACCATATCAAATTCTATAAACCAGGAATGGTTAACTTTTTGATGAGGCAAAATGTGTTTTGGGGGAACAAGGACTGTAGTGTGCAGAACAGTGAAGTACAACAATGGGAGAGATACAAAGTGGGAGACAGTGCTTTATTTGACAGGATTTTTCTTCAGTTTGGGAAGGTGAGTATTTAGAGAGTTTATCTTTAATATGTAATCTACTTCAGGAGTTAGAAAACAATAAGTTTTATATATGTTTTATATTTAAAAACAGGAAATTGTGTAATGTTTATTATTTTCTGAATAATTTTGGTTTAGGCATGTAGCAACTACTATATCATGCTGTAAAGGAGTCTGGGGTCCACAAAAGAGTTTGAAGTGATGTGTTGTCACATTATTAAAAGCCACTCATGTCTGCTATGGTCAATATAATCTGGGTAGTAGCAATGTACCTCCCACACCTATGCAGTATTTTCTTTCAAATCCCAGTTTGTGGTTGGCTACTGTATTTATTAATGTTGCATCCTTGCATTTTACGGTAGTATAGTTTTCAAAGTGGCCAGTAAGTTGATTAAAACAACACACAACAAAGAGCAAAATATTTCCATAAAGTAAATTAAACTTCAGCTCATTTAGAAATTTTTCTGCCTGTAGCCAGAAAAGGAAAGAAAAAAAAAACCCCTGAGAACCAGGTGAATTAAAAAAAAACACTAAAGCTCCATAAATAATCATTCTCACTAGCTACTGCTACTTCAGAAGGTCAGCAGATGGGTGTGTGAAGAATATGATGACAAGTTGATCAACTTGTGAAGGCTAATTACAGGATTTTAGTTGCTTAAATATCTGGTTAAATTGGTTTAAGTCATTTTATTTCCAAGGTCTTTAAAGGGATAATTCAGAATTTATTTTCTATTTGACTGGGCAGAATATGAGAGACATAAGACATAAACTGGTTTTGTAGTAGCACATAATTGCTGATCCTATTTCACATAATTGAAGTACAGTAGAACTGCATCCCAAGGAAGTTTTTTTTTAATTAAAGCCAAATGACTAATGACTCTTCCCATCCAGGACTGTCAACTGTTGTCAACCACTACCCGTTACCAAGCTACATTCTGGAGTCTAGAATAATTTAAGAACATCCAGACCTTTTATTAAGGTGGCTGACCTTGGGCCAATCTTTCTCTCTCTCCCTCTCCCTCCCTCCCTCTCTCCCAAAAAGGAGACAACTCACTTCTGAAAATCTTGTCACGCAAACTGCAAGGACTTGCAGTTAATGCATGGGAACTGTCAAGTAAAACATCTACAGAGGACCAAGCTGGTGGAAGCTAAACTAAACAAAAATAATAATGGTTTCAAAATAACTAAAAACACATTCACACTGCACAAGGGAAAAAATTGAGAACAGTTGAAAATGTCACTTGAACAAACTGCTATTAGTTTGTCTCTTAAATCTAAAAAAGGGGTGGGTGGGTGTTTTTTTCTCTCTCGGAAATTCTACGTTTGGCTTTATCTCCCCAAATTCCTGCTGACGGGAGTTGTAGACAAACTATAGCTAGGGAACTCTAGTTTCGGGATGCTCCTTATAAATTACCGCAATAAAAATGAAAACACGAGTTTGAAAAATTAGCCTCTGTCTGTGCCCGGTGAATAGCTGCAGGTCTCGAAATGCCGACTTAAGTTCCTTTTTGGACTACTTTTAAAAGAATTGGCTCGTTGGGTACAGCCTGCTTGATTCGTCAGCGACCATTGCGCGGAACCGGTTATGCTTCAGGGAAGAGCCGAGCGTCTCTTAACACGGGTTGAGCAATCTCTCCGCCCTCAGGCAGTCCTACGACACGCACGCACAGGCTCAAGACCGCGGCTCTGCGGGGAAAGGAGAACCCCACCAGTCCCAGAGGAACACCAGCCCGGGGGGGGGGGCGGCAGAGCCCGACTCGATTTCGAGAAACAAGCCTTCCTCGCAGGGGGCGGGAACAGGCTTGGGCTGTCGTCGTGGCGATATGCTAATACCGCCCTCGGCTCGCTAGGCGAGCCAATGGGACTCAAGTGCGCGGGTAGCGTCAGGCTCAGCCTGCGTGACGTTGGGAGGAGGGAGTCGCTGCTGCTGTTGTGGGCCCCGCGGGACGGAGGAGGGCGTGAATGGCAAAAAAAGTTCTGCGGAGCGTGTGACCCGGGAGCGTGGGCGCCTCTCCGCAGGCAGGTGAGGTGCGGTTATACTCGGGCAAACTCGGCGTGAAGAGAGCCGCCAACAAGGCGGCGCGCCCCCCCCCCCCCCCCCCCCGATTCGGCGTGGTGGGCGGCCGAGGTATCTCAAGAGCGGCGTTTGAGGGCGCTTAGAAGGCCCCAGAACCTCGTTCAAGACTGTGGGCGCCGGCCGCGTCCGGCCGCTGTTGAGCCGAACGGTCTCAGGTTTCGGTCCGGTGACTTGGCTTCGCGTCCGCGCTGTGGCCTCGGCTCCCCTCGCTCCACCTTGAGAGGTAGCTGGCCTGATGCTCGCTGGCCGGTGAAACCGGGTACATGAGCGGCCGCAGCCTCCAGCCGCCCGTCCTCTGGCTTAGGATCCGGGACGAGCGCTGAAGGCAGAGCCTCTTTCTGCTTCTCAGAGCGGCGTGGTAAATAGAAGAGCCGGCAAGGATGCCCACTGAGGGTTTGGGCCGGAGAAGACAGGCGGTCCTTTTTTGAGGGGGGCGGGAGAGAAATAAACTTTCCTTTGCCTTGCTGACTTTCGACGCCTCTTGGCTTGGTGGTAAAGCGGGCGGGACTCGGGCCTGCAATGTCGCCTAAAAAGAGCACCGGGTGACCGACTCAGCCGGGCTGCCCTTTCAGAGGGTTCTGCCATCTAGGCATGGCAGGAATAAGGGCGGGAGTGTGAGCAGCCACCTGAGTCCTCCAGGTTCTCTGCATGCTCCCTCAGGGGAAGACAAGAACCAGGTATTTCGCTGCCTCAGGTAGAAAGGTAGATGGTCCGCAAGGTCAGGCAGTTATATTCAGGCATTGGAGGCAGAAAGAGCCACAGATATCTTCTCCCCTATTGACAATACAAAGCGCAGCGCTCATAATAAATAACACGCTGGTGTCTTTTCAAAGCAGCCATAATTGTCTTTCTGAGGCAGCTGATGATCCTCAGCCCTCCCTACAGAGATTCCCAGAGAAGAGGACAAGCAAGCAGAAATAAGCATCACTCTTCTCCAGCCTTGCTGAGCTCAGTCTTTCCCCATTATGTTGTTCGGAGCAAACCTGCCAGTATGGTTTCATACTTTAGTGAGATCAAATGTTCAGTTTAAAAAATGGATGCTTCAACCTTCATGTGTATATAATCATTACTAAAGTGATAGAATTGGTTTTTTAAAAAAGGTAAAATACATCAAATTAGAATAAACACACAGATGGTAGCTATAAACCCAAACCACAGTAGATTTCACAGTATGAAAATACAATTGTAGCTAACTGAAATGTTTTATTTTGTTTTAAGTCTGATACAGTCTTTTTTTTGTTTAATGCCATATATATCAATGATGCTAACAGAATTGAACTTTGAAAGAACTTTGTTATTTCTTCTCTTTCCCCATGTTTGAAGACAAGTGCACATTTATTAAAATCTAATAAATACTGTGCATCTCTGATTGTTCATACTAGTTTTAAGGAATTATTTTTTATTTATTGACAATATATTTTAAACCAATAATATTGTGCTTTGTAGTTCTTAAGTTGAGAATTATGATAAAGTTATCTCAATGAAATTTTTTATTTCATTGCATATACAATTATAAAAAAATGATTAGGCTTGTTAATAGCCGTTTTGTGAAGTTCTTTGGTTGTGCAAGTAGATCACTTGGTCATGCCTTGACATCAGGTATATCTAAACGTTGATGAACTTTTAGGATTGTATGAATTATCTGATTATGAATGGTGGTAATCAGTAAATCAGCTCTAGTGATAGACATGAAATGTATGTATGTGTATGTATGTGTGTGTGTGTGTGTGTGTGTATGTATGTATGTATACATATACATATATATACCCTGTTTCTCCAACAATATGGCCTCCCCCAATAGGAAGTCCCAGCATGTTTTATAGGCATGAAATGAAATTAAGCCCCTCCCCCCAAATTAAGGCCTATATTAAAACATGCGAAATGGGGGGAATGGTGGGGGGGCTTGTTGTTAGGAAGTACTTTTGTTGCACACCCGGATATGGTGCTGCCTGCGTTGACCCTGATACGAAGTACCCCACCAACGCCGAAGTCAACATCCAAGCCATTGCCGCCTGCCCGCCCGAAGATGCAAGGGGGGGGAATTAAGTCACCCCTCCAAAAAAAGACAGCCTAGCCATTTTGGGGGGGCTCAAAAAAAAAAAAAGACCCCGCCTTATTATATGAGAAACACGGTATATATACCTACACACACACACACATATATATACATACATACATATACACACACACACACATACATACACAGAGAGGGGGGGAGGGAGGGAAAGTCCCAATAAATAGAGCAGGCTAACTTCTGTGAAGATAGGCACATAAAGCCATTATCTCAGTCATGTTTCCAGATGCACTGCTGTTGTATAGCATTGCAATAGTGACTTATGGTATGAAGTAATTGAACGTTATAATAATAATTTCAATTATTTCAAATAGTTTCCTTTGAATAAAAAATTTACCCATAGAAACGATATATATGGCTGGGGATGGAAACACAGAGATTCGAAATATGGTTCCTGGTTTACTGAAACTTTAAATCTTAATATTTACATCAGGACATCTGGAGGGCATTACATTGAAGAAAACTGGTACTGGAGCAAAATTTGCACAGGAAGGAGTATGTTAAGCAAACATTTAGCTAGACATTGTAGTATTTCCTATTTATTTTTCTTGGTTTAAGGAAATATTTTGTTCCTTTGCATTCTAGTAAGGAAAAGAGAGATAACAAAAAGTCAAGTGCCAATCTAAAAACTAAAGGAGTTCTAATAGTCAGTGGGGGGCATGGTCTTAGTAGGCATCTAGACTCAAAACTTGAGTCTAGTTGAGCTGGTTAGTATGTGGATGAAAGATTACCAAGGAATATCAGGGCTGTAAACCAGATTGGGAAAAAACTAGCAAAATGAAAGAAAGAGGGAAGGGTTCTATTTTCTTTCCCAGGAATAGTTGAAAAGGATAATTTCAGGAACTCTCCTCTAATTAAAAACCCTGTGCTTAATTTTGTTTATGTATCCAGGTAATGACCAACAGGAATAAACATACGGTAGGTTTGCAAAGATAAATGTCTCATCTTATGCATGATAACATGCAAAGAAAGGAGGGGATTAGTGTGAAATTGAGATTCCTATTTAAAATGTAGTTAATCTTAAATGCAGGAGATACTGATATAAAAATATAGATAGGTTTTGAGTAAGATTGGAAATATTTGTCCTATCAATTGCCCAAAATAAAATGTTCTAATAATACAGGTAAAACTTGTTTTTCATGGTTTCCAAGGCTAAAATTTAACCCACATCAGTCTAGTAAATAACTAGTATCTGAAAATAAAGATTTTTTCCTCGCTTGCATTTTGTCAGCATCTTAAGAATTTGTAGGTTACATAGTTCAAATGGAAGCAGTTGCACAATAAAGAGGTTTATGCAGTTATAGAATGTGGGTAGCAACCATGCAAGCTCATTGGATGACTCTGGGTCAGTACTTCTGTTTCAGCCCAATGTACCTCACAAAACCATTGTTGTAGAATAAAATAGGTCTTATACTGCACTTTTATGTAAGTGCATATAAAATTCTTTAAAAAGTAAATATAGTAAATATAATAAATATAAGTAAAGTAAATATAATATAATATAAATCCCCCAAAACATCAAAACATAAATTTAAAATATTTTTCTCTACATATATGTGCATTGTGTTTCATCTCTTTGCAGTTACAACCTCCAAATATTAAAGTTATCCATCTCTGCTTTAATAAATGGTTGACAAAATTTAATCAAGAATGTTAGGTATCACTGAAGTACTCCCAATAATGTCTCCAGAGTTTGTCATCAGGGAGGTTTTACTTTCCTTTGAAAGAACTCTATAGATCTCAAGCTTTAAGAGACTAGAACAAATGTTGATGAATAATTTTTTTGCCCCAATTTGTTTCTGGTTACATTTGAAAAAGCTACAATAATTTGATTTGAAAAACTATATAACTTGGGGATAGAATAGCTTAAGAGATATTGGATACTTTTGTTTCTTTATCTATTTAGCATATGGAAACATACAATATTAAACAGTATTACTATACAATATTAAAGATAGTTTTGTTTTATATCACTGTTTGTGAACAAAAGTTGTTTTCCTCCAGGCGAAGGAGGAACGACAATCTGGGTCCTTCAGGAGCACAGGTTCTCGATAAACTTGGACAAATGCCATCTAGTCCCAATGACTTGTCTCTTACATTTGGGGGCGATTATAGACTCTCTATCTGGTCAGGTCTTCCTCTCCCAGGATCTCCAGGACAGCATCAAGGCCGTCACAGTTCTGATTCTGTCCTCCAGCGGGGCCCCTCTTGCCTTGCTGCCTCAGCTCCTGGGCAAAATGATCTCCTGTATCAGCATTGTGCCCTGGGCTTGGTTCCACACCTGGGCTCTGCAGTGGTTCCTGCTCCCCTATTAGAGGGCGGGCAGGGGCAACTCAGCGTCAAGGGTTCAGGTGTTCCAGGGAGTACTTTGATTGTTCCGTTGGTGGCAGTCCCGGGCTATCAGCCAGGGTTGTTTCTATAGCCACAAAGATTGACCTTAACAGACAGTCTTTAGCCAGTCTTTTCAGCTGGGGGGGCGCATCTTGGCCCCCAGGTAACCCAGTGGCAGTGGTCACAAGAGGAGCTAAGCCACAATATAAACTGGCTTGAACTCAGGGCGGCCCGCTTGGCACTCAGGAGTTTCCAGCAGGAGGTTTTGGAGCGGCATGTCCTTCTCACAGACAATGTGGCCACCAAAGCCCACATAAATCATCAGGGGGGGCACTCGCTCCAGGACTCTAATGCAGGTAGTGACCCAATTGTGACTTTTGGCAGAGAGACATCTTTCATCTATAAGGGCAGAGCACATATCGGGGTCTTGAATGTGCAGGCAGACTGGTTGAGCAGGGCCACAGTTGACCAGTCAGAGTGGTGCCTGCATCCCAGTTTGTTCTGGGAGATTTTGGAGCGGTTTGGCCGTCCGATTCTGGACCTCTCCAGTGAATTTTCAACTCCCAAGATTTTTTGTGAGGTTTCCAGCACCAGGGGCGAAAAGGGTCAGTGCTCTATGCTGTCAGTGACTCCAGGACCTATTGTATGCCTCCCCCCCTTCCCCTGATCCCAGGGACAATCAGGAAGGTGCTGTCAGAGAGGGCATTGCTGTTAGCCCCATACTGGCCCAGGAGGCCGTGGTTCATCGATCTGGTTGGCCTGTCAATCTCCAGGCCTTGGAGGATTCCCCTGGACAGTCTTCCTCAGTGAGGGTCCCAACAACCATCCAGAGCCAGAGTGGCTCCAGTTGACCGTCTGGCACTTGACCGGGGCTCTTGAGACAGGAAAAGTTCTCCAAGAAGGTCATCTAGATGATCCAGGTGGCCAGGCGGCCTTCCATGACTAGAATTTATGATGCTACATGGAAGATTTTCTGCGGTTGGTGTTCGAGCTGCCACTTTGATCCCACCTTAGTGTCACTGGTAGACGTTTTGGAATTTCTGCAAGACAGTTTGGACAAGGGCTGTCCCCTAATAACTTACAATGATAGGTGGCTGCCTTGGCCTTGATTTCGTTTGAGGACTCAAACACTCGTGCCTAGCACCCCAGGGTGAGAGCCTTTCTTAGGGGAGCCACGAACTTGTAGCCATTGGTGGTTCACACGTATCCCACCTGGGACCTGCCAAAGGTTTTGCAGGCTCTGACTTCTGCACTGTTTGACCCCTGTGTGAGGCCAGCCTACACTTACTCACATGCAAGGTGGCATTCCTGGTGGCCATTACATCAGCCATATGTATATCAGAGTTGGCGGCTTTATCAGTTAGAAAGGACCTCTGTGTTTTTCATGAGGACAGAGTAGTTCTGTGGTTGGACCCTATCTTTCTGTCCCTATTCCATCATTCACAGGAGTTGATTTTGTGTGATTTCTGTCCAGGGCCTAACCGTGCTCTGGAAAAGAAATGGCACACCTTGGATGTTAGGAGGGCGCTCTGCATTTACATCAAGCGAACTTCTTCAGGAAGACCGAATCCCTGTTCATCTCCTTTCAGCCGTCGACTTTGGGCCGCAGGGTGACACCTTCTACTATGGGTCATTGGCTCAGGGCTTCTATTGCAAAGGCCTATGAGCTGCAGTTCTTCCCAGTGCCCAGGAAGATCACCGCTCACTCTACTAGAAGCATGGCAACTACTGCAGCTTGGGCAACGCAGGCCTTTGTTCAGACATTTGTTGAGCTGCAGTGTGGTCATCAGCGACACCATTCATCTGATGCTACTGGATTGACTCGCCTCAGCAGAGGTGACCTTTGGCAGGCAAATGTAGAGGCGGGGACTTCAGACCAGACCAATTCCTGCCGGTAGGACAGCCAGCAGCTAGCTTTGGTATGTCCTAACCTGGATTCTCCCGTCGACGGACATGCGTCTTCTTGGGGAGTCAACGGGAAAATCCAATTCCACCCTGAAGTCTGTCTGGTCAGTCAGAAGAAGGACTGCCATTCAGAGGAAGATGGACAGCAGAATTCACTTTGCCTTTGTTTCGAACTGGGGGCTGTTACCAGGGAGGTGTGTCCTCAGAATTCCACAGTCTGTAGAGCAATGAGGCTAGAGACTACCCAACCTGGATTCTCCCGTTGACTCCCCAAGAAGAGGTTGATTTTACCTGATAACAGTCCCATTCATGTTGGAGGCAGCATTTGGGTGCTTCTGGGTTAAAAGGACTAGCTGCTGACATCATCATTGCCTGGGAGATGCTCGTGAGAGTCCTTTCACATCCCTGTCAGGTAGCTGGAGTGAATGAAGGGAACCCACTCTGCCACACTGCAGCACTTGGGGCTCAAATGTGGGCTTGCTAATCTCTAACCAGCATCCTAAGCACATCAGCAACCTTGTTTCTTAAACCAGCACATGAAATACAGAAACATGTTGGAAATCAAATACAGCTGATATAATATAATGTTGGCATGATGTAACCACTACGCTCTCAGCAATATACAAACAACATATTCTCCACCAGCTAAAACTTCAAACCATTTTCTAGAATAATTTCAAATATATTGCATCATTATAATAATCCATTTCAATTCAATTCAATTCAATGCATAGATAGCTAGAATAAAAACTTCCTTTGGATAGGATTACAACTGGTATACTAGTCTAAATTAATAAGCAGTATTGCTAGCTGATACCTAAACTTCCCATTAAATCAGAATCCAGGACAACTGCCGAGCTGCATATTTGGTCCTTCGGAAACTCTTAAGATTAGTTGTGAGTCTTCATATATAATATCTAATTTCTTTATTCAGAGTACTTCAGTTTTGTGTAATAAAATTTGAATAATTCATTCTTCCTTCTCCTTTTAAAAATTACTATTGGGCTATAGGTATTATTTACAGTACAGCTGGAAAAGAATGTTTTCCAATTAGTGCTTAATTTAGAAATTATATGTCTGATTGTGGAACAATTTTTATTTTATTTCATTGTTGTCAGCCACTCAGTCGTGTCCAATCCTCAGTCACTCTATGAATTTGCACTCTCCATGCCTCTATGTCCCATACTGCCTCCTTCAGATCTGCCATGGTCATCCCAATGTCACCCTTGTGTACAGCTAGTGGGTACTAGGGTGACACCTTCTCCTTTTTCTGCTGATCACTCCCAGCATGATTGACTTTTAGAATGACCAAAATAAGACAGCCTCTATTTGGTGATCTTGGCTTCAAGTAATATTTTTGGGAGGGTCGACCTAGGACTTCTTTGTTATTTTGCAGCCCATGGAAGATGTGTAATAGTCGCCTCCAGCACCACAGTTCAAACACACCCATTCTTCTCCTATCTGCTTTTTTCAAGAGTTCAAGTTTCACAGCCATAAGTAGCAATTGGAAAAATTGTTGCGTTAACTGATCTGCGTTTTATTGTGAGACCGATGTCTTTACTTTGCCAGATGTTATTCATACCGAACATTGGAGTCACCATTTTGATCAATTTTAGAGCCCAAGAAGATGAATTCCTCTTAGTGTTTCTCATTGTCAATCTACATTCTGGCCTGTGTGTTCTCTAGCATTGTCATTATCTTTGTTTTCTTGATGTTAACATGCAGTCTCATATTTGACTCTCAGGATTGGCCTCCTTGCTTTCCAGGAGCAATGTTGTACCATCTGCATATCGGAGGTTGTTCATATGCATATCACCAATTTTAACTTCAATGGTAATTCCTCCAAACGTGCATTTCTCATAACCTTATCAGTCATGTTGAATAGTATACATTTTATAGTATATATTTTATTTAATTCTTATTTATTAGTTTTTTATTCTACCCTTCCTTAAGGAGCTCAGGGCACTGTACAAAGCAATTCCTCCTTCCTTCTGTGACTGAAGGTGGACTAGAACCTGTTTCTCCCCATTGTCAGTCCAGCACTGTGCTCACTGCATTATATTGCCCTTGAATTTTTGTAATCTTAATGTAGTTGTGCTTTTAATTAAATTTTAAATTACTATTTTCATTTTGTATTTTTGTTAGAAAAATTGACATTTTTTTCTAAGTAGGTAAAAGAAAAATGTAAAATAAATGTGTACATATCTGTTGTTTTTGCCTATTGAGAATATACTTCATTGCAGAATTCTAGTGAGTGAGACAACATTTCTTTAAACACAAAAAAGATGGTTCAGCAAAATTGGTGTTAGGTATGAAAGATGTATTGAATGCTATCATATTTAATTTTACATCATTAACAGTAAAGCTTAATTAAACCTTAATATTTATTTTTTTTAGTGTAGTAAGAAAATAGATTTTTAAAATTTAGTTTCCTCTCTCTCTCAGGGTTGAACATATAAATCTAGGCACTGCTGTAACTTTTGTATAACATAGATACAGAAATTGCCAAAAGGCTTCTTGTACATGTTAAGGACTTGTTTGGTGCCTTTTATGAATTATTCTGCCTAAAACTAAGTATTTTAATAGCTGGATTTTAATACATAGATTGGAATTGTAATTTCATGAATAAATGTAATATGAACAGGATTGATGACTGAAAGGGTAAGAAATCCTCATATGGTCTTAGTTTTAGATTTAGAACATAATAGTTTTTACTCATTTAGTCAAAACTAGAGATGTAATTAATATAGTGTTAATACTTTTCTGGATTTGCTGCAACATTTGTGGCATCTTAAAAATTGGCATAAGGTCTGGCTGATTATATTTTATTCATCAAATTAAACTGATACACAAGATTCTTTTTAACGTTGTTTCAGCTAAGAATCTGTGTCCTGTATGGAAAACCTTAAGAGGGGTTCCAGCACTTAGGATTCATAAAGCATCTCATCATTCTTGTCCCACAATAAATAGGCCATTATGCAGCATGAATATGATTGCATTTGCTACAGTGGAATATGCTGCAATGCTATATAATAATAAAAATTCTTACCCTACAAATATATACTAGGAAGTAAGTCTTACTGAATACAGTCACATTCATGTCCTAATAAGTATATATAAGATTCAACAGTAAACCTGTTCTACTTTTCCTGATTATTGTAATGAATAGAGTGGAAATGTATTTTGCTCTTTTGCAGCTTCCCTCTACTGTACTTGGAAGGTTCCTTATGCTGATATGGTAACTTCAGAGTGGCAGTCATCACAAGTGAATAAAGGTAATAATCCCTTATTAAAGAATATAATTTACAGTTTTTACATTTCAGTTTTGAGTTTATGTGTATTTGCATATTGCAGATTAGATAGTTATTTTGAGTAGTCAAAACAATACATGCAGAGATTCACCTTGTAAGAAGCCTGAGATATTAGCGCTGGTTATATATGTAAAGTTTAATTGTGAAATACATTCATGGGTCAGTGGATGCATATTATTCTTTTATATTATTCTTTTCAATCTCGAAGCGGAGTATGAGTTTAACTCTGAATTTTAACTAGTATGCTAAAATCACTACTCACTTTTGATGCTTCATCTCTATTGCATGTATCTTATTTCTATAGGACCATGTTTAAAAATAAGAATAATTAAAGAGTCGGATGAGGTTTATTAAGGGTCAAGAGCTTGAAACTGGAAGTATTTTGTAGAAGACTAAATTAGGCTATGAAATTATTTCAGACTATAATTTTATAAATATTGTGCAGTAAATACTATACTGCAAGAAAACATTAACATTTCAAGGATTGTTATAGATTCTTCTTGAAACTTAAGTGTCTGATACACAAAATCTGCACCATTGGGTTGGCTGAAGTTATAATTTCTAAACAGAAAAATGAAAATGTATACTTTCTTGCCTTTATGAAATGAATTACAGTGGAACTTCGGGTCGCGAATGCTTCTGACCACGACCAAATCTGGTGACAACCAAAAATTTCAGAAAATCTTTGCATCTGGTCGCAAATACATCTTCAGGTGGTGACCAAACACAGCTGTGGCAATTTCCCCTCCCAAGCCATTTTTTTTTGTCCGCGCATACGCAGTCAGTCTTGTTTCTGGTCACAACCAAATCAGGTTGTGATGAAAGTCCTGGAACAGATTACTGTCATGACCAGAGGTTCCACTGTGTGGTATACAATTTCATTCCTGTTGTGCATTTTTTTTTAAAAAAAGAACAGCATAGAATGTTGTAATGTTTTACTATATTGTTAGGTGGATCTGGGTAAAAGAAGCAGGTACAGTGTCCCCTAGAATTTTGTGCAGTCTTATCTTAGTTTTGTTGGTCTTATATGTTTTCTAGCCTACTGAGAGCATTAAGTCCTGGTCAATATAATTCTGTGGCATATGAAGCATTGTTAGCTTGAAGCAGTGTATGCAAAAATAAATAGGTATCCCACTTAGTGTGGATTTTGCTGAAGAGCTACATGACAGCTTCTTGACACAGATTCAGTTATACCAGTGGTGGTTAACCTTTTTGGGCTCCCGTGCCAAAAATTGCTCTCGCATGCCAACACCCAGAAGACAATGTGCGCGGTGTCCCCTATGCCCCCTGCACATGTGCCGTGACCCTCCTATGCGTTGAATGTCTCTGCACATGCACATGTGACCCCCCCATGCACTGTGCATCTCTGCATGCATACACGATCCCCCGTGTGCCATGTGCCTCTGCACATGCATGCGCAATCCCCTGCACACCCCTGCACATGCATGCAAAATCCCCTGCATGCCTCTGCACATGCGTGCATGTCTCCTGTGCACCACTTGCCCCCTGCGCATGCGTACCAGATACCCGACAATCAGCTGGTGGGCAGGCGGCACACGCACATGCGCAGTGGGACTCTTCTGGACAACCTCTCGTGTGCCAGCAGAAGTGGCTCTACGTGCCACTTCTGGCACCCGTGCCATAGGTTTACCATCACATCTTTTTGTTATAATTTGAATGACTACGTTTATATAAGAAATTTCTTTGAAGCTAGAATTTTAAAAAGCAGATTATCTGGGCATCTATTTTATTTGTTCTATTTACTAGTTATAAGGGAAATACAATTTTTGCAACTAAATTACTATCACTTAATTGGAAATATAAGTGGATTTGGCTGTGTATTTGAATAGGAGATTACATTAATATATTACTTTTGTTTGTATTGGATCAAATAATCTTCCTACAATATGTTTTCATGCATGCGTTCTGAATAATTACATATAAGAAAGTTCAATAATTGTATTGTGGGATTTGAGAGACTGCTAAAATCTCCTGTCTCCCTGCATATAGAAACTGTTACTTTTTAAAAAAATAACAAATTATATGAAATCAGCCTCTGAAGTTTTAGAATTAAAATATGCTATTTATAGAGCTAGAATGTGTTAAAATTAATATAATTGTCTGATTGTACAATTAATAATTGTAGTGTTTTAAAGGATTGAGTCCATTAGGCTTTTATTTTTATCTTTGTAGAAAAGTACATCAGTCTTCTCTATGTATTAACCAGAAGAAATCTAACACTGTAGTAGTGTCCTAGTCCTATTAATACTTTGGAAATTAAGCATTTAAATTTCTATAATACTTTTTTGGTAACTTATATTTAAGCGCTTGATAATGTTTTGCTTCTAAAATAATTTTCTGGCATTCTATTAATGTCAATGTAATATTAGCAGTAGTGACATATAATATGGTAAGAAACATGAAAGATGATGCAAGGAATGTTGTTCCTCTTATAGACTTCAGATTTATGGAATACCGAAAACTAATATAACACTTTAAACTCTGCAAGAACATTTTTCCTACTGTGTAAAGGCAAAACATGCTTGAACAACTTGAAATTACATCTACAATTTACCCATATCTATTTTTCTAAGCTACTTGAGTATAGTCATTGGCTAAATAAATTTATAAAATAATGTATTTATCATATCTAACAACGATTTTGTGAATGGCCACTATCAGGATAGAAGTTAACATTGTCTTTTCGATGTTTTATTTTACTATTAATTTCACTTTGGTTCTGCCCATAAAAAATAGAAAAAAAATTGGATGTGTATTTAAACTCCTATATTGAGGTAATGTACCATACATCTATAACATATTCCCCAAACATATATTGAAATCAGTATGTTGGTTTTAAGACTACAACATTCTTTTTTTTTCTTCTGAAACAACAGATTAAGTAATTTTTCTAGAAATTGTATCCAGAACTCTTTTTTAAAGGAGGATCTGTATATTTATGTAAGATCTGTGAAGAAGGATCTGTATTTATGTAGGATCTGTATATGCTGATAGCAAAATTTTTCACAGTTTAAGAAATGGGACACTTCTTCCCAACCGTTTTAATGTCGGTTGTTATATTCAAAAGATGAACACATCACTCAGTTTTTTGTTTGCTAACCTAATTCTAACCCTGATTTTTACTTTTATCTCTGAAATATTTTTTAAACTCTTAATAAAAAAATCTGCATGCTTTTTTTCTTGTAAGAAAAGTTCTCAGTCATAGGCTGATAGAGCTGGAAAGCATCATTAGACATTGAAACCAACCCTCTGTTCAGTGCAGGAATCCAAATCAAAGCAGTTGTGACAGATGGCTGTGTACCCTTTGTTTGAATGCATCCAATGATGAGAAACCCACTTCCTCTCTGCTCATTTGGTGCCTCTATCAAACAGCTCTTACTTAAAAGGCATTTTTTTCTTTAATAGTTAACAAGAATATACTATCCTGTAATATAAAATTATTATCCTGGATCCTAAGCAACAAATCTTGCTCTTCTTCTGGGTGAGATCTTTTCTTAAAGATAGTTTTCAAATTCAGTTTTCTCTTTTTCCCCATGATACATATATTAGTCATTATGATCCTACATTTTTTTTCTTTGAAACTATGTATTCCATGAAAGTCTGCACATTGCATCGAGGAGCAGTTGCAAAATATTACCAAAACATCCAATATATTGATTTGCATTTTGGACAGAATAAAAATATTATAAATGCTATGCTTTATTCACTCTTACAATGATACACCAGTATAACTATACATAGTAATCTGCAACTTTAATTACAGTTTTATATTTAGCATACAACCATCATTTTGTTTGTACTTACTGAAATACCAATTTCAGTAAATACTAAGTCCTTTGTACTGGCAAGGGAATATACTGGGATAAATGAGTAAGCAATGTTCATTTTAATTTTCAGACAGACAAACAATACTACATCTCTATAGAAACATTGACTTGCAATCTATTTTAGTTGGTTGAAAAATAGAATAAAATATTAATTTAGTAAACAAATCTATTTAACATTTTATATAAACAATCCTATAGCAGTGGACTAATGCACACATCTTTTGGTGACCGTTTCTCCCTTATCATGCAATTTGGACATTGTTTTCCAATTCAATACTATTAAATGCTTTGTGTGTGTGTGTGTGTGTGTGTGTGTGAGAGAGAGAGAGAGAGAACGGATAGGTCTAAATGAAGGCAAACTCGTTCAAGTTATGCTTCTGGTAATTTCACGGACATAGAATTCTCAAGCAATCCTTTATCCAAATATTAACTAGGACTTTGTGGTGCTTAGCTTCTGAAATCACTTCAGGTTGGTATATGCTACTATCTGCAACTTGCATATATTTTAAACTATGTCTGGGAAAAGACCTGTCACACACACTATTTGTAGTTTTCCTTTGAGACATTTAATGATGAATATTGAAGAAAGCAGGATGGATGGGTTTGTGTTTTTTTTTATAAATAAGTAATGTGATAGATTAAAAATGTCTTTATTTAAATTCATAGTATATTTATGTGTCACTAGATACTTGTATTTGACAAATTTAGATCTTATCTTTCTTTCAAAAGGTCAAGGCAAGATGCATTTCAGTCCCTCTTCCAGTTGTCCTTAAACAAAAAAAGGTAGGTTGAGCTAAGAGATAGTGACAAGCTAAAAATCATATAATAAATTAAACTTAAACCTGGGTCTTCCCAATCTAAGTTCAGTGCCCTTTGTACACTTTATTCTTTCTCTCACGGAACTCTAAGAATAATTTTTCTTGGTTGCAGTAAATTGTTCACACATTTATTCACTCATCTTTCCTTTATACACTGAAAATGTTTTCATTGTGGGATAAGATGGTGCTGATATGGTTGGTGAAGGAGGTAAGAAATAATTGATTTGATAATTCAGTAATTCTTAATAATTTGTAGAAGGGCAAGAAGCTTGATAAAGATTTACTGGTGGAAGAGATA